GTAACAAGTGCCACGCTAGTAGTAACAGGTGCCTTACTAGTAGTAACCCATCAAGGAAGAACTCCTTCTCAGCGACCCCAGCGACCGATACGATGCGACACGAAGGCGAGCGGTGCGGCTACGGCTGTGCCAGTGGCAACGGCGCCAGCCAGACTTGCGCCAAAGGGCTCCTGGGATGCAGTGGGACTCGCGAAGCAAGTCAGTCGGTGAGCTGTGTTCTTCTCATTTAAATGCCTGCCCTTACTCAATTCAGTAGGCGTCCATTGAATTGAGTAAGGGCTAAACAAACTACTAGGATCTACTAGGCGACCTGCTACTAGCTAGGACGCAGGATAGCTCAGGCTTCTTCAAGCCTTGAAGAAGCGCTCACAGTATTCATTTGGTTCCTAGATTCCAAGGGTGAGGTGGTCGTCCACCCATTGTGCCCAAACCCATGATCAAGAGCTAGCAGCCAAACATGTCGTGCTTGGTGATGGTCAATTGGTTTGATGGGTTTCCGTAAATAAGAACCTATATAGAAGAGAAATATGTGATCTTGTTTTGTAAGGGACTCAGGAGATTCTTTCTGGGGATTGGTCTTCTTTCATGTTGGGTGTTTGGATAATATCGTTTTGATCCACGTACCGCCCCACAAAGCATCCAGACATCTATATAGGTAAAACCACTACTCCGTTCACGTCCCAAAACGTCGGCCGCCGGCGGGGCCGCCGGGATCGTTTTTTTTGTTCACGGCACGATGTGATCGTCAGAACTTCCATCTTAAGCTTCGTTCGTAACAAGTGCATCGCTACTTGTGGCAAAGGGCATCGTCACTACATAGTAGCAAGAAGCTACTAGGGGCGCTGCTCCTGGCATTACTACTAATAACAATGCTTGCTACTAGTAGCAAAGGGTATCGCTGCTGTGATTGGACGTGTCCGCCGTCGTCACGACCGCTTTACGGAGCCCATCCTTTTTGCGTTCTTCGTGTTGCAAGGGTAGAGCAACGGCTTTTCTTCCGAGCAACCGAAGCTCAGCCCTAGATTCAGTAAGAATCCCGAGTTGCCTACCAACCGGCAATTGGAGTTGACACTTTTGAAGGTCAATCTCTTTGGGCATGATTATGTGGAAAGAGGGTACTGGTACTGCAATTGGTTTGATTTTATGTGACTTGCAATCCCTCCCTCCTAAATCAGAACAACCTTCCAGCTGCAAACCAGCTGCAAAGTTGGCACATCTTGAGAAGGGACAGTCCAACCATGTCCAACCCACTCTCACTTCAACCGTTGACCCAGGTTGACCGTTGACCCATGTTGACCCACCATTGCTGCTGTGTCGCGAAAAAGACCTGTGACGGAGCCGTGGTCAGGTGCCACGGGGAGGAGTGTGGTGCTCAATGTGAGGGTGCTGCCTGTGCGGCCAGCTGCCAGGGTCCAAAGTGTGCCTATGAGTGCGGGCACCCAGATATGGGGGATGTATAGCGATGTGGGATGAGGGTCATGAGGGTGGGTGAACCGATGGTGACATGGGGGTTCGAGTCTATCGTCCAGGTCTAGTCAAGCAGCCTGGCCTCCGGACGACTGGGCGACCAACGGAACCTGGCCTCCAGTGGATTCCAGTCGAGGCAACGAGCCCTTTGGTCCGGTTTTCAGACCGACCGTATTACAGATCTGCCGCTCGGTCGGTTTCAGACCCTCAGATAGAGAAGTAGATCCCCGCTATAATGATAAGATGCTACAAGAATGTATTGGAAGGCAATTTCCATCGAGTTGGGGACCACTATAGAGGAGTGAAGAATGTGCTCCTTCTCGAACCTCAGACGGACACCTAGGAACATGTCATCCGTGCAAGATCTTTCTGGCGACCACTCGCTCCAGATGATAGATCGATGGAGATATACTGAAGATTTTGCGATGCTGAATGATGCTGAATGCTTCGGTCGATGTGGCTAATATCCTTTCTCCAACAAGACATTTGATTGTCAACATGGAGACAGTGGTGCAAAGCCTCATCCGGACATCGGCGGATTTGGTGGCCTAGTCTTCTGGGCCGCCACCGTCCCATGAGAACCACCTTTTTCAGACCGCTGAGCCCAGAGTGAGGCGGGCAAGCACTCTGCCCAACTCTCACTTCCCACCCCGATCTAGAAACCATATAGATTTATATAAAGATACATAAATACTATATATAAAGTTATAACTATGAAACATTATGAAACCATCTAGTCTAGTCTAATAAAACCAATTCAAACCATAATAGAAGCAACAGGAAGCGAAACCAACGAGTGGCCGGTGGCCGGTGGGAACCCAGCCCTCAGCTCAAGCCCTCCATCATCGCGGGAACCCGCGGCGGTTTGCCAGGTGTTCTGGTCAGCTTGGGGACCGTCTTGGGAGGGGTGACTGGGTGGGTCTGACACCGCCCGACCGGAGATGAAAGTCCGCCTGGGGAGGTGCGGTTGAAGTTTCTATCTTCCAGAGGTCTGCCCACTAGCTGGATGTTCGACAACACAGGGTTAAAGTGCAGTTACTTAAGTCTGCATTGACACGCAGGCCACCCAGTCTGGTCCATGTTTGTCCTGAAAAAGATCAGGCTTGTGAATTGTGAGTTGTGACTGTGATTGACCCACACAAGGCAATATGGGATTCCATAGACTCTGGGTTTTGCAGTTGGAACCGCTCTTCGTTCACGGTCGTGAATCGCAGTTTCACGGCCCCCTGAAGCCCGGTGGTGGTTCGGGGCCACTCAGAACCTGCTGTACGTACTCAACAAGGCCCAGTGGTCTCACATGGTGTGAGCAATGGACCAGACATGACCGGACGCTAGATTCTGACTTGATGCTTGATTTAGCCCGTAATCACTCATGTATACGGGCTATATCAAGTTCTTATATGTTCTTATGATCAACATCTTCACCATGTAACTTGTAGTAACTCCAACATCTCAGCACCACTCGCCTTAGCCTTATTTAGCCTTTTGACTGCTCTGATCTCTGTTGCGACCGTCAGGATCTGCAGACCTGCGGCCTCGAGTGCGTGGGCACCATGTGCGCGGCCAAGTGCCAAGGCGCGAGACTCTCGACCGTTCGGGAGTCGAGGGGGGGGCGAGTCGTCGGGATGGTCATGGCCATGGGTCCAAACCGGGGGGGACGGGTGGTCAACACCAGAAATGAAGCGAATGGACCTTTTTGCAGGTCAACCTGCCCTGGTTTAGGGCTCCTGGGTTTGGACTCACAGCCACATGTTCTTCTTATTTTAACGAAGGCATCCACCCGCCCTCAATGAAGGGGAGGTCAAGGGCATTTAAATGCGCCAGATCGATCGGAGTTTTTGTTGTTTTTGGTCCCCGAGACATGGCTTTCTTATGCTTCCGTGACCTTGGACGCCAATGGGAGGTAGACTGAAGTGTAAGAGTCACTTTCAACCACCGTAAACGATCAGAATTTCCTTGGTAAAACTTTGAGCTTCAGTGAGTTCTCTCCCAAGCACGATCAAAGAAGAAGTGACCACCAATCCGACCACGACCTATCTCTCCTGACCTCTGTGAGGTGCTGAGTGTGCCAAGGGGTGCCAGGGCGACTTCTGTGGAAAGGAATGCAGTGGCAGCACAGGCAGGTGACCGGACAGGGCTTTTAAAGGCAAACGAAAAGCCCGAGCCCATTGCGAAGTGAAGGACGGAAATCGTTTCTATAGTCAATAGTCATCTTATATATGTTGCTTGGGAATTCGGAAGTTTTGAAGTTTATACAGTAGGTTTTTGTGCAGATTGGCTTCTTGGATGGAAGAGTTCCCTCTTCTTCAAACGGGTGTTTTCCACCGTTTTTTTCTCTTTGAGAGTACCGGTGGCAAGGTTTCGTGGCGAGGTGGTTTCGTCCCTGGTTGAGCTTTCCCCATGAAGGCAAGCTGAGAAAAAGAGATTGCGACTCGCACCATTTTCCATCATGCGCCTTTCAGCGCGTCTGTGTAGGTGACAAGTCTCACTGCGCGGCTGGCTGTGTGGGCCGCCGCTGCGCTGCGAAGTGCAAAGGACAGAAGACACGAGCGGGATGATCGAAATTTGCAATTGTATCCATGCATGGCAGAGAATCTTCGGTGATTGCTCTTCTTCTTTCATCTCTTTGCCTTTCCACGAGTGAACCATCAAGCTCATTGTTTCTTTCTTCAGGTTGAGTGCTAGGAAAGAACAGTGAACGCCCGACTATTCCAACTAGGTGAGCACCTATATATACCCCAGCTATCAACGTGACCTCGGGACAATATTTTCCTCTTCGATTTAGCTTTCTGTATTATACTTAAGGCTTAGTCGAAGCATGTCGAAGCTTCCGGAGATTCTAGATTGGCCAAGGAACCAGGAGCATGCATCGCAATAGAGTGTGTGCATCACGCTTTTGAGGATTGTGAGTGAGGTGGTTCCCCCTTCCACACTCTTCCCTTGCAGGAGCTTATTGCGCCGCTTGACGGCAGTGCCAGCTGCCAGCTGTTTTTCTGGATTCGGCTATATAAACCAATAATGATCCTGGACAGATGCCTGCCAACAATGTTTTTTTAAAGATCAATTTACAAAACGGTGGGTGTTGTGAGTTGTGTCTATGCAGGTGGGTCATGTAAACTGTCAGGCTGATGATGGACAATTTATGTTCAATCAAGTCAAAGTTAGATACTCGCATGAATTCCTCGGTCCAGATGGCTTTTGCTTAGGGCGCGTCTAAAGATCCCCACGTCCTATGGCTCATCAGGAAATGATCAAGATTCAGGCTGCAGTAGACGCTAAAGATACTGTAGTAACCAAAATAGTACCTGCAACTGTAGAAGGTCACCAGCTCCTTTTGACACGGTCTCAGCCAAGAACGAGAGTATGAAGGAGAAGAGTAGACACAAAGTCCAGGTTTCCTGCCCGATTCACAGAAACCCAGCTGGCCATGCCCTCGGACCCAAGGCCGCCGGCTGCGAAGGAGTTGGCTGCGCCAACGGTTGCGAAGGCGTTAGCCTCGGGATAGCTCTCGGGCGATGGGTGGGATTAGAGGTCCAAAGCAAAGGGATTTGCTCCAACGAGAAGCAATCACCCCTTGCCACCTGGCCGCCGAAAGAAAATCCTCCGTTGGCCGTGCTTTTTGTTGATGTCGGTGCCCGGCCACCACGGTCATAAGAGGGTAGTTGTCCAAAAAAGCTCATCCCAGGGCAGTCTGGTCACTTGTGACGGGAGCCACAGAGCAGGTGCCCGGCCACGAAGCGAGCGAAGCGAACGAACACCAGGTGACCATTGCGATCAAGGATGCAAAGGCGATCATTGCTCCAAAGGACCGGCAGCCAGAAAGGCAGCCCAGCCAGCGTGGCCTATTAGACCAGTCGCCATCATTAGTGTGCAGCCACTTTAGTTTAGCTATATAGTTGATAAATCACATCGGTGTATCTTTTTTTCTATTTTGTTTAAGAGGCGGCACCCGGGACGCAGCTAAAATCAGTAATTCTGCAAGGCAGCGCTAGCAAATTGGCTAGAAAAGCGCTAGGTTTGAATGCATTCCATATGAGCAGCATCAAAAGACCTCCATAATTAGAGTACACAACGGACTTGTTTTGGAGCTGTTCTTGAATAAGACCTGCAGTGTTATCCCAGGATTTGAGATTGCTGTAAGGGATTGCCGTTGTGAGTAGTCTCACCACATGGTTTATTAGAGCGACTGGGTGTGGTAATAGGTACTGTATAATCTCCATGCCTAGAGTTTTTTTGTTTTGTGCGGTGTGATTGTCGCTAGCGTAGCCAAATCGTTTGTGCAGTGTTTTGTGCGGTTTTGTCTCCAATCGTTTTCACGTTCGATTCATATTTGTTATAGACCTTTATTGTGGCAAATGAAGCGGCACCCATGGAGTTCCGATTTAATAACGGTTTTAGGCAAACGACGTGAACGACAGACCGTCCCATAGGGCGTGGCCCCGCTTTTGCTGGCAAGGCATTCTGGATGTGGTCGTGTTGCTCCACCTATGGCTGTGGCTCCGAAGCAACCCCCAACATCATCCCTGAACCCGTGCTGGTTTAACTACTTACTTCATGTTCATCATTGTTGGGATGTGAGCTGCGGGGGACCATGTATAATGATGTAAACAAAACAGTTTCTTGCAACTTGCCACCCCCGTCCTCTTGTCATAACTTTCATTCCTGGACTGGACTCCCCACTTGGTGTGGCCCAGTGAAAAGGCTCTTTGGACTGGAACTGGGTGAGGAAGCCTGTGAAGCAATATCCTCAGAGGATGATGCTCAGATCTCCTCAGCTCTCCTCAGCTACCTGAGTCACTCGTCGCCTCAGGAGCTGCGCCTGCATCCACGTGTGAAGAGGCAGGACAGACCCAGCGAAACTGAGCGGTTTGGTCCGAGCGGTTGGTCCGGGTGTCAGATGCAGACGGAGAGGTCAAGTATATGAGCCTACGATTGTTTCATGATGCGTCCGATGTGTCCAGAACTGCACTAATTATGTCGTAGATGACAATATTGCCTTGAAAAGAAGAGGCATGTTTGGCGAGGGACGGGAACCCATATCTATAGTTATAGTTTTTAGTCAAAACAACATATCCATAGCACAGTTCTTGGGCTGGCGGACTCAATGCCTGGGAGGCCTAGGGAAGGCATAATCCACGCAGGTGACTGAATGATAGGATCAGAAAAAGACTAAGACTAGGGGCGCTTTGTTTTGGAGGGGTGACTAGCCCCTTGCCTCCTGCCCAACAGACCAAGTTCCAAACAGACCAACATGTCACTTCTCGTTCGCCGATGAACAGTTACTGTGCGCTAAAGCCCCCTTCTTTCCATGGCGAGACTGAGAGTTGTATGGTGCAAGCTTTGCGCAAAACATGGTGAACAAGGCCAAGGTCGCGAGGTTGCAAAGAGGGCTTGCGGTTTAGCATATGCCTTTTTCTTTAAAATTCTACAGTGTTTGCGTTTGATTCATGGAACAAGGAGTGAGAATGTGTAAACCTTTGTGCATACTCTGGTGAGAGAGTGAATTTTGAATGATGTGTGCTCGTGCCAGTGACGCGCCACAGTTTTTTGGACGCCTCACTATTAATATCTCGCAGAGTCCAGCAGAAAAAGCCGCCGCAGAAGAGAGAAGCTTGATACAGCGCAAGTCATTGGCAGTCCGAGTCATTGTTTGCTTCGAAACGGACTTCGCAGACCCCGAAAATCGGCCAGTCGGCCATGCTTGCCAAGTTGATTGCTCAATCATAAGAACACATGAAAATGTTCAATCCTGCAAATACCCAGGTGCAGAAAGCCATCTGTGTTTGAGCCAAAGCTGGTATGCCATACCTCATGATATTGCTCATCATTGCTCTCCACTTCGCGTGGTTGGTCGGCTGTGCACAACGGCGGCTGTTCTCACCGAAAGGCCTTGGCTGCCAACCCTGGGCTGTGTGGCCTCAAATCCTCCTACAAGGATGAGGCTGGTACGGCACAGTCAGGTCCAGGTGGGGGTTGTGGTTGTTTGATAACGGAACATGATGGTGCTTTTGTGATGGTGAGACTCAGAATCATTCAGAATCCAACGTTCATCGACTGTTCCCCCTCACTGGAGCGCTGCATGGAGCGTTGGTGTTTCTTTGCTTCAAAAAGGTCGTCGAAGATGTGATATTCGTATCTACTCATTTTGATGTGGTGTCTGGATCACTTTCTGGAGCTGGAGGTTTTATATCAGTTTTGGGGTCCCACTTCGAAAAGGAATCTCACCGTTCCACGTGCTCCGTCTCCGGAACGTCGGCGTGGCCGGTGGGCGGAACGTCTCATCCGGCCGGTGGGTTTCCACCATCTCCATGCTGGACATGTTTCCTGCCTGGAAGGAACATCTGTGATGTAGTTGTAAGTAACTGCAACTGTAACACTGTTAGTTACTAATTCTTTTCAGTTCTCCATCATTTCCTTTGTCCGATCCATCGGCCTCGCACAGAGTCCGTGAGAGTCAACTGTTGATGGCCAACGGGTGCAGGTCCTTTTTGCCGGCGAAGATGCCAAGGATGTTTGTCAGAACCTGAGGGATAGAGACGGAAAGCGGCGATAGCTTGAGAGTACTGAAGCCGAGCAGACTTTGACGATGCTTTTACTGGTTGCTGCGCTTGATATCTTAAGTTCTGTTTGACATGCCTGTCCATCACAACCTATGCGAGATGCGGGCTAGCGATGTCTCTTCCACGATTGGAACGGCTATTTCCGCATTTGATGTTTTTGCAACCGCCGTGTGGACCTAAACTTCTTATCCTTCTCCTGGCTGCATGTTTGGACGACCAAGGCTGTAGCAAGACCGACTGCCCTGACGGGTATGAGGTGGGCGCTTGGTCACTTTGAGAGCGGGAAGCCACTGACTTTGCACCTGGTTGCAAAGCTGCTAGTTTAAAGAAAGGAGGATGAACGCTGTGTAGGCATGTTGATTGGCCGGGCCTCTTTCTTCCTTGCACTATTGTCAATATCATTCAAACTGTCAAGGGTGGTTGTCTGCCACGGAGGCCTGTGGCCTGTCTGCCACAGCAAAATCTAGAAATTGGTCGACCCTTCTTGACAGAATCATCTTCCCCAAAACTACTGACAGTTATGCTCCTGAGCAATCCACATCAATCCACAAAGGAACACATCGACCCTTCCATTTGGGCCGCTTGGACCACGCGCACATCGGGGACACGGACGTCCCGACACGTGACGGCCGGAGGGGTCGGAACGCCTGTTCGACGTGAAGGTCGAACGAAGAGGGTCATCACATGGAACGATGTCCACCCACCTGGGAGCCCCGAGGGGTCGTCCAACAAGTGAACGAGGTTCACCAGGTAGGTCGTACCCGCTTGGCTCCCCTGGCGCAATGACCCCACAGCCACCTGATGAGAGCTGGTTGTGCTCTTGGTGCCCCAAGTCCAAGCGAAACTTGCGGACGAGAGCGGCCTCTTTTTGGGCCGTTTCGGGGTTACGGTTACAGGATGTTACAGGTGGGTTGGTGAATGATTGTAGTACCCACGAAAAGGTCCATGCTTCCTTTTTTATTGGGGGGTCGTTTTTTGGCAATAGCCATCATAGCTAATCGTGCACTGCTTCACAGCAGCGTTCTTGTTCTCGTCGTTTGCACCGCGTTTCGCCCAAGCCCTCCGCAGCTGGTGGACGGCTCCTGCGAGAAGCCCAAATGCAAGGGCACGTGCCTGGGACACCACGCGGGGGTACAGCGGGTCCGGGGTTCAGGGCTTCGGTCGCCGTCAGTGGTACAAACAAGGGGAGTGGTACAAGCATATCACTTCGGACACCTCCCTTTTGGTCATTGAACACATGTTTATGTCTTGGCTGCTATATACAGGGCAGTATTCATTTGAAGTTGTTTGAATGTGTTGCGGCTGCAGGCGTACGAGATAGATAAACTAACAAGGCCACTTTCTTATTATGGTCCTCAAATTAAAGGTTCAATGAATGTTAAAAATGAGAAACACATAGAAACACAAATTATCTATCGATGGTGTTGTTTGGCAAAATTATACCGATCCTTTATAAATTTGTGTTTGGCTGATTCAGGACATGCCACACTTTTCCACGGACAGCATTTGGCCACTTAGGGTTATGCAGCCCAGCAGGACAGTCTGGCAGGCTTTGCCGACTGCCAAATTTCAATGGGGGGAACAGGTCATCATAATGCAGGTAATCGTAGGGTTTGATCTTGAAATGTGTTTATATTTTCTTTTGCTGTATAGCATGACCCATGACCAATACTACTGCTTCGCCTGAATCGAACGGCTGGTTCAACTGCATCAACCGGAGGCAGGATGGGCCGACGCCGTCCGCCGTGTCATCTCAGGTTGGTGCAAGGTGAGGCACTCAGCAAGCAGCCGAGGCACGAGTGAAGCGAAGTGTGAAGAGTCCACTTTGCCGAAGTGGTATGGGCCACAATTCAGAGTCAGAGTGGTATGGATCATGTTGAAGACACAATGAAGACATGAAACTCTGAACCATCCCAAACACGGTGAAGAACTGGTGGACCCAACAACGGTAGGTATGATCATACTCCATGTTTTAATTTCCCAAGACTTAGAGAGAAGGATCGGCATTTGTACTGGAGTTGTGACGCTGTTGCGACAGTAGAACTACTAGAAGAGTTAAAAAAGGATCTTGAGCATCTAAGCCAATAACATTTGCGTTTGTTGATACTCTTCGATCAGCGCAGATGGGGGACAACAGGGCACTTGATGGGTTCTTGTTGTTCTTGAAGGTCTTGGATCTACTCCAGTCAGCTACTTCCAGTCAGTTGGACCTTCAAATGTCTGAAGGGAAATCGTGGGTCGACAACTATGGTGTGAGTCAAGAGATGATGTTTAATGTAGACTTGTGGTTAATAACCCCGCCATATGACATGAAGTGGTTTTGCACTCATCAAATCGGGACTTTGACGAATCACGTAATATCTATATCCGTCATCGGCTTTCGGTGGTTTCCAGAGGCGGTTCGCAGTCGACTGGGACCGCCCGCGGAACATCGTGGGACCGCCGAGGTTGTTACCTCAGCAGTTACTCCGAGTGCGAGAGCACTTACATCAAATACGAGTGCGGGCCCTGTGGGGCGGTTTCCCGGAGCCCATGCCGGAGGTCGGTGTTCTTACAGGTGTCCAAGGTTTGTCACCCATGGAGGATGGCCCCCCCGAAAGAAGATGAGTTTCCTCTTATTCAAAAGTATATCTTCGACTTCCAAGGGAAGGTCTTGTGGTTCCAGCTGTGCCCCATGCGCTTGGGACCTTGACGTCGACCGTACCCTAGTTTTGGGGGGTGGAAACAATGATGTCCTGTAGATTGCCCCTAAAGTTCTAAAGCCATGGGCTGGGTCACCGAGCCATGGCCAGACCGACCTGCCCCGAGTAATCCAGTCCACCTATTTAAAACCGTGCCGCCCACCCCCCTAATAAAGAAACCTCGGTCGCATTTTTTTTAAATAGGGGGTCCCTGAAATCGGGGGTCCAAAATAGGGTCACCTGGAAAGAGTTTTTTTTTTTGGCACGCAGACTCACTGTCTTGTTGCCTCTTTGGGGTTGGGGGTGAAACCTCTCTCGACGACCCAAGTGGTCGGAGTGTCCTACCGTCTGCCGCCAAAATCGGACCGCATGACGGTAGGGAGATATGGATCCCACGGAGATTGGGCTGCCTCAAGAAAGACGTCATCTCCAAGCTCAATCTCCTCGGGATCCGGGCCGCCTGCACTCGCTTCTTTGAAGCTGTCTACGACTGCATGCGCTATGCCTAAGCACAGTCTTGGGGGGTACTCTTTCAGCTCACTAGTCGCAAAGGTACCCTCAGCCGTGCGGCCTATCGATCGAGTTGCAGGCATCTCGAACGATCTTTGTTCCTCAAGACGATTTTCCAGTGTTCGCAGGCCATGAGCCAGCAATGCTGTGGGCTTTGGAGATTTTGCCCCGAACTGTCCCTGCCAGACTCGGAGCTTTCTCATGGGTAGAAGCGCCAGCATTGCACGTAAGACCTTCAGGCGCCAGATTGACGCCAAACTGGCATCGTCTTTCGGTTCATCTGGGTGCTCGAGCAGGCAACTTGTTGCGGCTACAATGCAGTCAAGCACTAGGATGATCGTAAATTGCAAGAGCCTTGAGCCAACAAGGCATTGAGTATGTTCTCGCTGGCTCATACCGACCAGCCCCCAAGGTTCCTGACTGGATCGAAGAACCCTTGGCTGACCAGAACTACTCTCATCTTGAAGGCACACTCCTCTCGCTCGTGACCATGTTTCACACGGCGGACCTGCAATGAGTGCGAGTATGCGACCAGCCTTGATCATCTGTCTCAACCATGACTGTGCGTGCGCATCTAGTAGGTCACATCGTTCATCGATTGCTAGGTCGAACGAAAGGCAGATCACTGAGTGACCTGTCTGTCTTGCAAGTTCCTCAATCGAATACTGGATATCTGCTTCGCGTCTGCGCCCACTGAACAAGTGAAGCACATACTTGACATTTTGTTTGGGAGCTCGGTCCAAGGATAAGGCACGGAAGTTGCAATCAACAACAAACGCTATGTTTCCGCAAATGAGTCCGTTCCAGTCGAGATGTTCCGCTGAAACTGGAATTTGCTGCCATAGTCCTTTCAGGACATCCCAAGCACGGCCAAAATATCTTCTATGTTCAGGAGAGCATATTGCAATTGGTCTTGCTGGCCAGACGAATCGCGCCCTCCTGTTTTATAGATATTCTTGTCCGAAAGTGCGAAGCAAAAAGGATGCTGCGGTTTTAACGCCATCCAAGAATGAATGCAGTTCTTCTTCAACGGGAGCAAGGCTGAGAAGGTAATGTATTGCAGCATCCTCGAAAGCTTCGACATTTTCGACGCACGAAGCTTCATTGTGCATCATAGGTCGAAGTGTAGACCACCATGCTTTGGGTCCTGCACATTGCACCCCAGCTAGCGGCGGGATCTCGAGCTCTCTGGCAATTCTGTCGCCGCCAAAGTCTTCTGGACTGAGATCACTTTCCTGGATAATTTGCCAGCATATGCCCCTTTTGTATTGCCAGTGTTGCTGAAGCGCTTCACTGTTGCCATAGTATTTCAAGCAAACCGGGCATGTGTCTCCTTTTGCATAGTAATACTGTGCAGAAAAGACCTCATGCTGTCTATGCTTGTGCACTCCAAGGGCTTTCAGTGTGCCAAGAACCTTATCACAGAATTGGCAACGAAAGGAACCTTTGACTGCTCTCTGCACATTACCATGCGTCTGCTCGAAAGAGGTGACGCCAATTTGTCTCAGCATCATAAGTGCCTTACATTCGAACTCATAGGCTTCCTGAAGTCTTTGAGCATGGTTACGACATGCTTTTCCAACCTGTTTGAGATGCGTCTTCCATTCGATCCCTCTGTCAGCCAACACTGTGGCAAGACCTTGGACCTGTGAAACCTCAGGAATACACAACCAATCTGGACACAGACGATTCTCTCTGAGCCAAATCAGGTCAGAATAAAGCATATTATGAAGCCAGTTTGATTCAACATCCAAGATTGCCCAAAAATCTGCATCGGCAAACTGACAAATCTTCTGAAATTGCCGCAACCTTTCTATTCGCAGTAATTGCCGCGGATGCAAGACTCCTAGTTTGGCCACAATCTTCTCATTGGAGGCTTCCTTCCATTCATGTCCACGCAAGACAACTGCTAGAGACCTCAATAGTCGGAATGCAGCAGTGTCAAACACCTGCCATTCTTGCTGCGTTGAGAATGACCCACATGATGCGGTCACAGGCGATACTTGCTAATTCTCTCAGAACGGAACGGATCTGGGTGTGACACTAGTACACAGAGGTCATCAGCCCATACTGGAAGACATGTGAATCTTCTACTGTCCAGCTGAACAACGAGTTCTAACTCGTTAAAATCAGACTTTAACTGTCTGATTACACTCCCGAATGCAATTGACCACAAGAGATCTGCCAATGGGTCTCCCGGACGCGTCCCAGTCATGGAACAGGAAGGCATCCCGTTGACTCCCATTGTAGTCCATACATCTTCAAAGAGTGATTGGATGATGTTGCCAATCTTGGTGGGCACGGAACACTGTTCGAGTGGGCAGCGGGCTGAAAATGCCTCTCCTATCTGCTGCTACATGTGTTCCGAACATGGCATGCGACCCAGGAAATCTCGTTGCCTATCTAATGGCCACTGACTGAACCATAACACATCCCGAGCCATCTGGTAATAAGCTTGCTTTGCATCTAGGAATATCACCATTGAGCTGATTTTCTTCTGATGACAGGCACCCTGGAACAACCGTACTGCCTGCGCTGGCAGGGATGTTGGCATGCCTCTTCTAGCTCCTCCTTGTAACGGGGATGCAAAAGACTCGAAATAGGGCATCAGTTTCTCACGGTATGCTCGATGTGTCATTTTTGCAAGCCCCTCTTGGAGACTGATCTGCCTCCAATCCTTTGCGTGTGGTGAGATTCCATTACTCTTCGGGATCGGCACGATTAAGCTGCCTTGCCACTGTAGCGGCTCTTCAAACCGAAGAACAGATTTCAGCACAAGTGGGTAGGCTTTTCGTGCGAAATCTGGTGCAGCGCTCCTTAGAAGATCAATTGGTATTCCAGACAGCCCTGGCGCTTTCTTTCTGGAGCGCTTGCTCACACTCCTGAAGAGTGGGAACATCTGCCGAGGTAAACACGTCTTTTGATTGCGCACTATCCTCAAAGCGCTGAAGTGCTTTCTCTTGGTGTTTGTGCTGCAGGGCAGTCGGATCAACAAAGTATCCTCTTTCAGATTCTTGAAAATGCTTTTCCCAGATTTCATAAACCTGTAGAGGCGTATTGGCCACCTCTCCGTCTGGCATTTGCAAAGCAGGCAAACTGAACTTGGTCTTGTACTTACGCGATTTAGTCAACCTTCTAAGCCGCTGGAAGAGGTGATCGAGTCCTTCTTTCGAGGCTGCAGTGACCGAATCTGACACATATGCTTGCAACTTATGCTTTGCAACATTCTGGTACTTTCGCATCAACTCTCTCGCAAAATGCTCGAGTCGTACCTGGCATCTACCTCCTTCCGAATTCCAGCTGCGAAAGTCCGGCAGAGGACAATCCTCATGCTTATGGCACTTCCATGCTTGAAAGAAGAACCATGTCTGGCAGAATCCACGAAATGCTTTCAACTGTTTCAGCCAGCGTCGTGCGAGACGCCTCTGTCTGACCAACTGGATAGCTTCTTGGTCGAGGAAAGGTTTCTTTGGCTGTTTCTTCTGCTGAGGAAAATGTCGCAACATAGCATTGCTCACATGATCTTCAAGCATCTGCGCATGGGAAGTGGCATCAACTTCCCAGGGAATTTGCGGAATTGACAATGCAATTTGTTTGCAAATGGCCTCTCCTACCGGCGTGTTAATGATGTCAGTATCAACACGAGGCTTTTTCTTTGATAGGCTACGGAAGGTCTTGCTAATCCATGTCTTGAACTCTATCCCCACTGGCAGATGGTCGATTTTATCGCGGCCAGTATCGAAACAGCTCAAGTCAATACTAATGCCACAGGATGCAAGATCTGAAGAGGTGGCAATGTAGTCGAGACATGATCCACCTTGAACTTCATCTGCATCGACCGCAGTGGAGTGGGACCACGTAAACAGAGCTCGGCCTTCATCATCTTCTCGAGTCCGGATGACTAAATTTTCTGTTTGCAGCCAATCAAAGAAGAATTCTTCCGCGGGTGAACTGACATTATAATTTGATCGGCTGGAACATAAGTCTCCTGGTCTCAAGAGCTGTGCATTTATTGCGTCTGCAAGAGCAATAACATGGTGACTGGTAGGAACAGTCCTTCGGACGGACTTGGTTGTTTTGGACCACCAGAGTTCCTGCGCTTCCTCCCCTAGGTGGTTACTTGGTGCGTGCAAGGCAACCAATGCGAAAGGAACATTTCCAGCGGCTATGGTCACAATGAGCAGCCTTGGCTCTCGCACCTTCACCATGGCAGACTGAATGTCCCAGCCATTCTGTTGTCCTTTTCCTTGTACGATGGTTTTCTTGGTATGAAGCCAAAGTTCACACCCGAAGTTACCATGCTTGTCT